CAGCTTCCTGCAGCACTCTTCATGTTGGTGTTCTGGCACGTGAGGATGCAATCACATTGCCACAGCCACAAATCCAAAATCAGGGAACACAGACTTCCAAGCACATTTCCAACCCATTTTCTCTCCAGAGGGTTAACTTGCTCAGATATCAAGTGACGTTTTATTCTCCATAGAACGCTGCTACGAAGTTCTGATCCAAGTTTTGACAAGCTTAACCAAAACCACAAAAGCATGAAAACGAAACTCCTCTGAGTTCAGAATCCACAGCTGAATGTTGCAGCTCTCCTCACTTGAATTACAGTTCCTGGAGTTTCCATTTCATCTTTTTCAAAGAATACAGTCCCAGAATGGTTTGGGTTGGAAGGAACCTTGAAGATCATCCCACTGTACCCCCTGCCATGGGCAGGGACACCTGCCACTACCCCACGTTGCTCCAAGCCCTGTCCAGCCTGGCCTCAGACACTTCCAGGGATGAAGCAGCCACAGCTTTTCTCAGCAAATTTGATCCCATAAACCACAAGTGCCCTGAAGACCTGGAAATGTATTTTCTCAACAGGTACAGCACAAGCAAGAGCCACACAAGGAGCCTCTGGATGCCTTTGCCAATCTAACAAGTACTTGCAGCACCCTGGAAAGAGGGATCTGCCTCCATCCCCAGCCACTGCCTGCTCATGCCAAGACAAAGAACGAGGCAATAATTGCTGTAGTCCTTTCGTAGCGTCCGTGGGGAGCAGAAATTAGACAGGAATATTGAGCCAGATCAAAGCCCGTGCAGTTTTGGCATCCTGCCTCCTGCAGCAGCCTCCAGGAGAGGCTGGGAGGAAGAGCACAGGAATCACTTGGAACGGCCATGGACACAGCCAGCATCCGGCCTGCAGCACGGGACACTCTCTACTGCTCTCCCAGCCTGTAAAGCAGCACCTGTCCCCACCCAGCACAGGCCACTGGACGAAACCAGGCAGCTTTTGACACCCCAGATTTTGATTATCACACACAAACAGCACAAAAAAAGGCTCCAAGCCACCCAAGCACCGTCAGTTTCTGTTGCTGCCTTAGCAGAAGAAACTGATTTGGGACAACCAGTAATGCAGATCTTTAGGAACCAGGATTTACACCACGGTCTCATTGTGACAGAGATGTTACATTTACATAACCTAGCAGCACATGATTTTCTGCCTCTAAACCCTCTGGTCTCCATAAGCTGCTTTGGTGAGGCCGCCTTCCCTCACACTCACCCACGGGCGAGCCAGCAGCTCGTCTACCAGCTACTACAGAGCCACTACCCTCATCCCACCTCCCACAGGAGCCTGAGATTCCTCCTGGCTTTAAGACAATCCTACAACTACAACTATCTTGTATTTATGGGGTAATAATGTCTCAAAGACTCCCAGTACACTCTGCAAGCTGACACATCAGATATTGCAAAGCAGTCTGCTGCGCACTGAGGAACCAGCACAGCCACAAACCAGCCAGGATCACAGGATCGTGGGGGCTGGAAAAGACCTTCCAGGTATCGAGCTGAGCTGACAGCACTGTGCCCACCCAACCATGCCAGGAAGAGCCACACCTGCTCAGACTTTGAGCACCTGCAGGGATGCGAACCCTACTGCTTCCCTGGGCAGCCCATTTCAGTGCTTGACTACTCTTTCAAGTGAAGTTATTTTTCCTAATATTTAACCTGAGCCTCCCCAGCCCAGTCTGAGGCGGTTCCTCTCCTCCTGTCCCTGTTTCCTGGGAGCAGAGCCCCCCCCCAGACTGTCCCCTCCTGTCAGGAGCTGTGCAGAGCCACAAGGTCCCCCCTGAGCTCCTTTTCTCCAGGCTGAGCCCCTTCCCAGCTGCTCCTGACCCTTCCCCAGTTCCATTCCCATCTCTGGACACACTCCACCCCTCAGTGTTTTTCTTGCACCGAGGGTCCCAGAGCTGTCCCCAAGAATGGAGGTGCCCCAGCAGTGCCCAGTCCAGGGACAGGCACTGCCCTGGTCCTGATGGCACCCCAGTGCTGGGACAGCTCAGGTGGCACTGGTCTCTTTCCCACCTGGGCACAAACAAACCCAGGTGGCCAAGAGCAGCTACACCTGCTCCAAGAGCTCATCAGAACAAGCAGCACCTGCTCTTCTGACAGCTCCAATTCAAGGGCAGGTACCAGACAAAGGCTCAGGATACCTGGGATCTGCTTTAATCCTGCCTGACAGCACTGAACAAGAAGTTCCACCTCAATGCTGTCCATTTCAGCAATTTACCAGGAGAGACCAGCTCATCTGATGAGAAGCAGCCAAAAGGAGCTTCTGTCTCCAGAGCAGACTTCTGGACCACCCCAATTTGACCAGCTCCTGGGGCTGTTCCCTTTTCTCTGGCACACACACAGTACTGGAGGAGCTGAATCCCCAAAATTCACCCCAAACCTGCCACCCCTGCAGGTGCCCTGTTCTCATGCTTGCCAGGCTGTCAGGGACATTCAGGGCTGTCTTTAGCAGAGGAGCTTCTACAAAGCCAGAGCAAGAGCTCACAGCACACAACAGCAGCACATCGTGGTTTGCAGCTCTCCCCCTCAGCTGCAATGGCCTCACTTGTGAGCTGCCAGGACCTGAGGTTATTTCTGCACTTTAACTCAATTTGTGCATTTTCTAGACTACAAACAGGTTTGTTGAGGGAACATGAGAGGGTTGATGGTGCTGTGGGTAAGATCATGTTACAGAACCACTGAGCTTGGAAAAGACTCCCAGGATCATCGAGCCCAAGCTGTGCCCAAGCTTCCCCTTGTCCCCAGCCCAGAGCTCTGAGCACATCCAAGAGTTGCTTGGACACCTCCAGGGGATTCCACAGCCTCCCTGGGCAGCCCCTGCCAATGCCTGACAGCCCTTTCAGTGAAGAATTGCTCCCAAAATTACACTTCTCATGTACAACCAGAGATCACAACTGTCCCTTACACCCCCCCCCCCAACACCCTGTTCATCAGTCCCAGGACAGCTCCATTCATCCAAACCTGCAGCTCCACCAACCATCAGAGAAATAAACCAGATGCTCCCTCCTGTGCTCCTCACTAAGGCCTCCTCCACCCTCCAACGATGGTGCTCAGCATTAGCACATCTCATAAAAACCATTTCCCCGAGCTAAGCTCCACCCCACGATTGCAAAGGCAAACCAAAGTTACTCCTGTTTGTTTACTTCCTAATTTATGAAACCTGGTAAGAGGAAACTGTTTTCAAGGCTTAATCAACTCTGCAAAACAAGCAGATGGGGGAAAAAAAAATCCCTCATCTAGGCAAACACTTTAATCTCGGGGAAATAAGGTATTTTAACAAGAAAAACCCCTGCTATTGACAAACAAGAGGCAGCTTAAAGAAAACATTAGAAATAATCAGCTCAGCATCAGCTTGTTTTGAAACACACTGCAACTGTAGTTTTGTTTTCACAGCGATTCCTTCTTTTGGTTTAGGTACTACAGCTTCACACAGCTCAGGCTGCTGAGTCTCACAGTGGTCAATTCCCACGTTTGTTTCACCACGTGTCCTGTTAACCCTGAATTTCTGGCCTGATGGATGCCACCAGCTTTCTGCACTCACTGAGCAGCCAGGGCTGGGCAGCCAGAGCTCTGCTCCAGCCACGGCATCCTGCAATGCTGCTATTGCTTAAGGACTTACACCAGCACTGAGAGCATGGCATACTTGCTGTGTGAGGAAATTGGTGTAAATTAAGGCACAGAAAAGAAAACAATGAGAAATCCAGTGCCCATTAACGTGGCCACAGAGGAAGCACTGAGGGGAAGGAAGGGATATTGGCCTCACATGGCACTGCCACAGCTGAGCCCTGCAAGGAAAACAGCTCCACCACGGGCCTCTGGCCTGGGCTCGGAGTCTGCCAGTCCTCTGGCACTCCTGGGATACCAGGCTAATTTCCGAGCCCAGCAAAACAGCCTCAAAGGCAAATAACTAAACACAATTTAAGAAATAAAACACATGCACAGGTACCGAGCCTCACTAATAAATAAAACCAGCGGCTCCCACACACGCTACTCCCCACACGACCCGCAGTCACTAAATCTTCATCAGGCAAAGATCTGGATTGTATTAGCCACGTTCTCCCTTCCCGATTTGTGAGCAGCAGGACCGCAGCCCAATCCATCTGCGGCTCAGCAGGCACAGAACCGCCGCACGGCAATAAATTCAACTCCAGCCTTTCACCTGTTGGAGTCGTTTTAGACAAACTCCTGGCGGCCAGAGCGAACCCACCTGGGGCAGGGAGGGGAAGGGCTGAGGCAGCCCCAGCTGGTCCCGCTGCATGGAGCATTTTCCCTGCGGGAAAAGCCTGCCCAGCAAGAGGACAGGGAGCCCGTGCCCCCCGAGGAGCCCCCAGCAGCCCGCAGGACATGGGCGCTCGGCACGGAGCCGTGAAGCCGCTCGGGATTGGGGCACATCCCACGTACACGCATGGGGAATGCACATGTGCCCCCACCCCTTCCCCCGCCGAAGTCCAGTTATTGTAGTCCAGGAAACAGCCAAATATTTGGCCTGTCAGGCCAGTCAGAGGGACCCTCCGAAACATCCACCCACAGCTGCCCGCTTTTTGACCATTTAAGAGGAAGATCGCCCATAGCCAAGTCCCCATCGGCGCTCACAAGTGTTTACATAACGGCAAACATCCCTCGCAGCCGAGCCCCGAGCACGGGGGCACAAACACGGGGAAAGTTGGAGCGGACGCGCAGCTCCGGGGCCGAGCCCGCGGTGCTGCCGGGGACGGGACCCCGCTCCGGCACGGCGGAGGGGGCTCTGCCCGCTCCCGCCGGGGCTGCGGCGGCCGGGCATCCCCGCCGAGCACGGGAATGCATCCCTGCACAGCAGCGGGCTGCATTCCCGGGTATCCCCGCCTAGCAACGGGCTGCATCCCCGGGTATCCCCACCCAGCACCAAGATGCGTCCCTCGGGCTGCGGGACGGGGCTGCCCCGACGGCCATTCACCGCCTCCCTCCCTGCCCAGCCGTGCCCGCTCTCTCCCGGCCGTACCTGGCTGCGGAGGCGGCGGGGCGGGCTATGGACGGCTCGGCAGCTCCATTCCGGCGGCGCTCCCGGTCCCGCTCCCGGAGGCTGCGCCCGCCGCCGCCTTAGCTGCGCGTCCACATGGTCACTGCGCTCCGCGCCCGCCGCCGCGCCTTAAATAACCCGCCAGGCACGCTGGGTAACCGAGTCCCGCCACCGCCACGCTGCTGCGGGGGCGCGTCCTGCAGAACTACAGCTCCCAGCGTGCCCCGCGCCGCGCTCCGGGCGGGGGCAGCTGACAGCGGAGACCCTCCGGGTCCGTGCGGTCCCGGACGGGGATGGAGCCATCACGGTGATGGGGATGGATCCCCGGGTCCGTGCGGTCCGGGACGGGGATGGTCCCCCCGGTTGAGGACGCGGATGTGTTTTCTTTCGGGGGTCCGCACAGAGCCCTGGAGCGAGCGGGGGACCAGCGTACGAGGGTACCGGGCACAGGCTGCGAGAGTAAACCCTGAGTAAACCAGGTGCCAGCGCTGTTTGGGGAGCGCAGAACAGCGGGAAGGTGAGGGCTGAGGTGAGCACCTGCCTGCCCAGGTGCTGTCACCTGTGCCGTGACTCAGGTGCGAGCCCTTGGCTGAGCAGAGTCCCGGCTGTTCTGCAGGAACGCTCCAAACTCTGGAAATAGCGAGTGTCACTGGAGCTCCTCTTCACTAAAATTACAGCGCAGGGGTATCCCTAACGAGACAGCACAACTTCAGCCAGAATGACCAGCAACGAATGAAAAAAAATAGTAATATTTCATTTATTTATTGTATTATGTAATTATTTATCCTTAAATATTAGCCGAGGTTATTCCCCACAGTTACACCCTGATTTTCCTGCCCTCTGTGGCTGCCTGGCAGCGCCCAGAGCTGTACAGGGGTGGGTGCAATGTTTGTCTGCAGAACAACTGTATGGCTTTAATTGGGATTTAGGTGAAGGAAACAGTTCCCTCCGCTGTCACCCACACCCACGTGCTGCCGTGGGTAACAGGTAGGAATGGTGCCCGGCTCCTCGCTTGTTTCCCTCTCTACAGCAGCAGGAGGAGCTGGTAAATGGAAACAAGCCCAGATGAGCCAGTTTGAAATCAACACAACTTCCCCTGCACTGGCACTCCATTAAAATACCTCCGGAGGAGCTGGAGCTGGGGCTCTGGAGCGAGGGTATGCAGCAGCTGAAGCCCGTGACTCAGGAACTGAAGCGAAGGTCAGAGAACAGAGTTTTATGGGTTTCCTACATGGCTGCAATACTACAAGCCATTACTCATCAGGAATTTGGCAGAGTAGTGGTGCCTAATATCATTAGATAATCCTAATGAATTCTTGTGTAATCAAATCTAATCTCTGGATGGCTTCAGCAGGCGGAGGCTGTGAGTGGCTGCAGCGGCTCCAGGGCAGTGACAGAAGGGGAGTCACCAGAGCCAGGGGCAGAGCTGTGCCTGCTGAGCACCTCGAGCAGCTCTGCAAACAGCACGCCTTAAAATAGCTCCAGCACAGGGATAAATCCCAGCAGCAGCACTGGGGGAGAGCACGGGAACGGGCTGCCCAGGGAGGGAGTGGAGTCTGCCCCTCTGGAGACATTCCTCCCCACAAATACCAAAGGCCACAATTTTGCTTCTGGACTGTGTTTGATTCTGGGTCTTGGTCAGTTCTTCAGAGGCTGAGGAGCTCATAGCATCCCAGAATGGTCTGAGCTGCTCCAAGCCCCATCCAGCCTGGTCTTGGACACTTCCAGGGAAGGGGCAGCCACCGCTGATCTCTCTGGGCACCCTGTGCCAGGGCCTCACCTCCCTCACAGGAGCAATTTCTTCCTAATATCCAACCTAAACCTATTCTCTGTCAGCTGGAATCCGTTCCCCCTTGTCCTGTCATTACATACTCTGACAGCCCCTCACCAATTTTTGGGCCTTCAGCCAAAAATACTGACCAAGCTCTGCAAAGAACTTGCTAGATTTGAAGGAGTGCTGGCAAAGACAAGAATAATATAATGGAATGGAACATAATGGAAGTTCCCAATGCAGGAGAACATTTCCATCTTCAGGAGCTTGCTCTGGGCTGCTGCAGGCACTGTGAGCTCATGGGGCTCCTATAATTTTACAGCATTGAAAAGAGGTAAAATTGTAGGGCAGTGTGGGAGTGGGAAAGGTCACCTTGGGAAGGACCAGGGTATTCCCTTACAGGAATTTTCCCTGACAATGGGACCTACAGGAGGGCTGGGCTTGGAGCCCACACACCCCCAGAGGGTCACGGGAATGAACTCAAGGATTCAGAGAGGAAAGAGTGAAAAAACACTACTTGGTAGGTATCACTTCAGCCCTGGGAGCTGCACTATGAATGTTTGGCCCAATTTCACATGTGGTTTCAGTCACAGGAAAACAACTTATGAGGGATTTTTATTGTTTGCTATTGGAGTACTTTGGGTTTTTTTTCCTTTTCAAACCTTGTTCTGCTCCACTCCTACTTTATTTTTAGCAATTATGGAAATTCAGCACTGATGAAAGATGTTAAAATGAAATGTGAAGTCTTTTATTTGCTTTTTATTTCTATTGTCTTGTTTTATGTTGTCAAATTTGCAACTAACCATTGGCTGTTTTGGAAACATTGCACCTCCAGCCTGCCGGGTGGCTTTGCTCGGGTTTTGTCTCTGCTGTTTTGGTTTTGTCTCTTGTCAGCTGCAGCTCAACAGCCCTGGAAGAAAAACGAGAGCAGAAGATATTCCAGAACTGTGAGGATCAATCTGTCTCCTCTTGCTCATGGCTGGTTTCACAACGGGGAGGATGATCCCAGAAGTTCCCTGTCCTTAGAGGATCCATGCAGGCACTCAGGGATGAAAAGCACTCCTGACAAACACTGGAACACTTCAGCCTCTCATGAAGTGCTGGAAAATCTCTCATTCCCATCACATTTTAATAACAGCAAGATCAGAAGCGTAGGGACTCGGTGTGAGGAGAGAGAAAAACTAAAGCCTGTGTGTCTGAGCACAAAAGGATCCACAGCAGCAAAAGTTCTCCAAGTCCTCTGGGTCTCAGAGTGGAAGCTGGATGTTGCTCAGAAGCAAACTGTAATTATTTCATCTGTCCTCTGGGGAGAGCAAGGAATACGAACCCTCCTGATGGAGCTACACAAATGATGCACAGAATTCCAGGAAAAGGAGCCATGAGAACCAGTGGGCAGGATACACTAGAGAGCTGTCCCAGCTCGTTGGAAATCAGCTGGTTTTCCTGAATTCCAGCACCACACGGCCAGAATCCCAGGGCTTTATTAAGGGGAGGTTATCCTCACAGACTGGTTCCAGTTCTAGAAGTCTGTAGAATTTGGATGCTTACCTTTTGCTCTCGCTTCAGTGAATTGTGTTGGGAAATATTTAGCAGAAGAAAATAAGTTGGATTTAACTCTCATTTTCACAGACATTCATGCCTTAACAGAGGGTAAAGATTGCCACGTCAGTGCAAAAGGAATATTTCCATTTTCTGACCCCAAAGCTGCAAGGGTTGGTTGTATAATTAAGTTTGCACTCATTTGTTTTCCTGCACTCTGATGCTTTTCTGGAGCACGTCACAAGGCAAAAGGGACTAATGATGGGTAGTTGGGATTGATCCCTGCGAGGCCTGCCAGCACTGCCATTTTACACACAGCAAACCTTCACAGAGCAGCGCAGCTCCTTTCAGCACCACACACCAAACCATAACACCCCTCCTTCACTCACGCTTCTCTTTGCTGCAAGTATAAGCCAAAATTACATGGAGTATTTTGAATTAATATCCCGCAGGATGAGTAAAGGTTTATTTCGGCATGGGGGATGATGCAGAAGATCTGTTCTGTTGACAGCTCTGAGCAGAAGCTCCCACAAGAAAGTAAAGATTTTACAGAGTCTCCAACAACTACAGTGAACTGTGGGAGAAATGAAGGAGAACGCAGGAATTGTGATTCCCTGATGGAGAGGGGGAATCCCAAAGCACCCTTCAGGGAAGGAACACACCCTCGGTGCCCTTTATGAGACTCCTGTGTGGACACTGGAGGTATTTTACGGACGGGTGACATTCCCGTGGGCATTTCAGATCTTTCAGTGGATTGCTGAGCTCCCCTCTCGGAGCTCTCTGGACCTGGGAGGGCTCAGCAGGGCCCTGCTCCAGAGCCCTCACAGCACAGGCTCTGCAGGAACCACTGTGCGTGGGGACAGGAGGGACAGCGAGGGACAGCAGGGACAGGGAGGGACAGCAGGGACAGGGAGGGACAGTGGGGTCAGGAGAGGAAAGAGAGGGACAGGAGGGGACAGGGAGAGACAGTGGGGTCAGGAGAGGAAAGAGAGGGACAGGAGGGACAGGGAGGGCCAGTGGGGTCAGGAGAGGAAAGAGAGAGACATGAGGGGACAGAGAGGGACAGTGGGATCAGGAGAGGAAAGAGAGGGACATGAGGGGACAGGGAGAGACATGAGGGGAGAGGGAGGGACAGTGGGGTCAGGAGGGGAAAGAGAGGGCCAGGGAGGGCCAGTGGGGTCGAGAGGGGACACGAGGGGACAGGGAGGGCCAGTGGGGTCAGGAGAGGACATGAGGTGGCAGAGAGGGACAGTGGGGAGAGAGAGGGACATGAGGGACAGTGGGGTCAGGAGAGGACATGAGGGGGCAGAGAGGGGCACGAGGGACAGGGAGGGACAGTGGGGTCAGGAGGGGATGGGGGGAACACAAGGGGACAGAGGGGGACACAGAAGAGACAGAGAGGGACATTGGGGAGAGGGAGGGACACGAAGGAACAGCCCTAGTCCCGCCCCTCAGGGCGCGGCGCGGTCCCTTTAAGACGCACCCGGTCACATGACCGCGCGCGGCACGTGGCCCCGCCGCCAACATGGCCGCGCCCAGCCAGCCCCGCCGCTGCCTCTTGCCCCTGCTGCTGCTGGCAGTGGGAACGGGAACGGCGGCGGCCGCCGGGACCCCCGGCACCGCGGGCTGCGGCTGCAGCGCCGGCCGGGCTGCCGGGGACGGGCGGGAGGCGGCGGCGCGGCGATACTCGGCGGCAGCGGCGGC